GATTCTTCTAATTGCCCGGAAGCCGAAGTCCCGCCACTTGCGCGGCTGCCCGTTGAGAGCCTTGAGCTTCCCGGGAAGCGCTGTGTTCCCCACATTTTCCAACCTTTGTGTTTTCCTTTTTACTTGGTTCAAAGTACTTTCAAGTTTGACTCACGAGTTATTTTGATCTATTTTTTTTTTTCTATTTTCAAGCATTTGGAGATTTTCCAGATATCTTGCTAGTCTAATTCAATTCCACTGTGGCCAGAGAGTATATTTTGCGTAACTTGAATCCTTTTACATTTTTCAAGGACTGTTTTAGGGCTCATCAGGAGGTTTAATTTGGTAACAGTTTCACATACATTTAAAAACAATGTGCATTTTTCTGTTACTGGGTGGAATTTTCTCCCCATGTCTGTCAGGCCAAGTTGGGTGATGGTGTTATTTTTCCATATTTTGCCACGTATAATGAGCACTTTTTTGCCCAAATTTTTCAGGGGAAAATAAGGATGCACATTATGCATGGATATAATGATTACATATCGTGGGTATGAGAATGCCCTGAATAATGCACACAAACCCATGGGTGCGCATCACATGCAGCAAAACGCGGGAACTTCCTTCCCTGTTTTTCTAGCTTCCTGTTTACCTGCCCTCCCCAGCGTGCGAAGGCAGGAGAGTGCACGTCTCCACCTGTAATTCCACCCTGTCTCTCTCCTGCGGGTCTGACTGTGAGGACGGTCCTAGCCTCTCCCCCGACCCCTCGTTATGAAATGCCCTTTATCCCTGGGAACGGGCTTTGCTGGGCAACGTACTTTTTCTCACGTTGAACCGGCCTCTCCAGCGTTCTCTCCTCCTTCCCCTGTTTGTAAGCAGCCCGAGCTCCGAGACTGCAGGCGGGCCTGGCCCCACCGGGCCGTTGGCGCGGGTGTGGGTTTCCGCAGAAACCCGCACTTGCTGTCTGCTTCCTTCTCGTTCCGAGTTACTCGGACGGCTGCTTTCGTCCCTCTCCGCTGGCCCTGAGGCGACTGAGCCTGCGCGCTCTACCGCCTTGGGGTCAGAGGGGGCGGCCTGGCGGACTGGCCCAGCCTTGAATGTGTCCCGCTCTCTTCACGGTCTCACACGCCCCCGGGAGCGCGGGGTGGACTCCGTGGGCAGTGCTGGGGGGCGGGGGGTGCTGCTTCCTCAGTGGGTTTGGCCGGGTCAGAGGGTCACAGCCCCAGGAGCCCCCCTGGGCCCCCAGCCTCGCGAGAGGCCCCGGCTGGAGCCCCGCAAGGAGGCAGAGCTGATGGAGCTCGGCACCGGCTGGCCGACCCTCCCCTCCCACTCGTGGGCCAGCCCTCGGGGTGTGGATGCCTCCCTCTAGCCTCGGTTTCCTTGTCTGCCACCTCAGGCGAGGGGTATTTAAAATGTGGGTTCTGTTCCTATTCAGCTACGGGGGGCCAGGAGATCAGGGCCCAGATGCCACTGGATAGATGGTCTGTTACAGTCCCCAAGGCAGGAGACAGGTGATGCCACCCAGGGCCACCCGAGCACACCAGGGTCACGCAGGAGGCAGTGGGAGGGGAAAACGTGGCCCTTTACTGTGGTTTCCGAGGGAAGTGGGCGGGCAGGCGTGGGGCTGGCTGATTTGGATAACGCAGCGGGCTCCGCGGCGCCGGGGCCGTCCCCGTCCGTCCGGGGCCTGCCCTGCGGGGCGACGGCAGGAGACAGCGGCCCTGCGTGTGAGGGTGGGCGAGCGCGGCGGGCTGGGCTGCGGGCTGCGGGCTCCGGGCTCCAGGCTGGCTGCTCCCGTGCGGGGGCCGGGGGGCGGGGTGCCGCCCAGGCCTCCGAGACCTGCAGCCACGGCCGGCCCTGCCTGGGCCGCCTCGCCCCCGTCAGCGAGGCCTCCAGAGGCCAGAGCTCCGCAGCGGGTGTGCCACCCACCCCCTCCGTCCACAGCTGCGTTGTCCGGTGACAACGTGTCCATGTGCACCCGTGGCCGGCCCACACTTGGACTCGCTGTGGGTGCGCCCGCCACCACACAGAGGGACCTTGAGGACCCTGTGCCGACTGCGTCGGCCAGACACAGAAGGACAGACGCTGTGTGACCGCACGCCTAGGAGGTCCCTGGAGGAGGCGGAGTCACGGAGAGGAGCGCAGATGCTGGGGGCGGGGGGTGGGCTTACCGGCTGCCCAGCTGCAGCTGGGGGGCGAGGGGGCTCAGGAGAGGGCAGAGGCCGGGGGCACGAGTGGCCCGGGGGGTGCCAGGGTGCAGGCCAGGGGCGGGGGCAGAGCCCCACGAGGTGGCATAGCGCAGACCCCCCACGCAGTAGGGCACTCAGGCTCTACCTCAATCAGCTTTGCTGAGAAATAACCCACTCCTACCATACAGTTCACCCGTTTAAAGTGCATGCGGGCGCGACTTGACTGTGTTCACAGAGGCGGCTGGTATCGGCACAGCTGCTATCGGCACAGCCGCCATCAGCCCTTCTTGGGGGTCTCAGAAAGGGCCGTGCCTGGGGGGTCTGCACTCCCCCTGCCAGGGCCCCGCTGTGACGAGCAGGACGGTAACCCCGGGGAGAGCCCGTCTGGCCCTCGGCTGCCCTGCCGGCCCCCTCCCTGCTCCCCAGCTGGAGCGCACTAGCCAAACCAGCCGGGACACCCCCCACCCCCCACCCCCCAGAGTCCTGAGAAATAGCGAGTCATCGTGAAAGCCACTAGCACCTGGGTGGCCTGCCTGGTGGCTGTAGACAGGGAGGGTCTCCAGGCCCTGGAGGCCGAGCGGATGCCCAGCCAGGATCCCCTGTTGGCAGGACGCAGGGGATTTCCGGGCACCCAGGCCGGGGCGGGGCAGGGGGGCAGGCAGCTCTGGCGGAGGTTTGCCACGTGACCTTCAGGGAGGGGCCGAGCGCCTCACGGGGAGGGGAGGCAGGGGGCAGCCACAGCTCCCCCCCGGGACGGGGAAGAGGGTCAGGCCACCTGGATTCCGAGTCCAGGTCCCCTGTCTGTCTGGGGGGCTCATCTGGCCAGAGGTGTGACGCTGTGACCCTGGACACACCCCCTGCTCTCTCTGAGCCAGAGTCCTCCGAAGACAATTGGGGCCCCAGGCCCCCTAACACCCGGCAGGTGCTAGCCCCCGGTCACTCCGCAGGCAGGCCCAAGGGCCAAGGGGACCTGCCCAGAGAGCCCTGCAGGGAGAGGCGGGGCGGGAACCAGCACGCAGGAGGCCGGCAGTAAATACTCCCTGCTTGCCCTGCCCCAGGCAGTGGGTGGGGGGCCTGGGGGGCTGCCCCATTACCCCACTCACAGGGGTCCTGGCCCAGGGGGGGGTCTGGTGACCCCCTGGGGAAAAACCAGTGAGGCTATGGCCGTGGGGTAGAACAACTCTCCCATCACCAACACATTCTGCGCACTTGCGCTGCCCAGTCCCCTCCGACCCGACGTTTCCCCTCCATCGTCTGGGAGAAATTCTCTCGTCCCACTTCCCCTAGGGAGCCGGCCTGCGCTGGCAAAAGGCGGCCGCCGCGGCATCCTTCCCCCGCCAGCCCGTCCTCAGTGCCCTCACGGCAGGTGGGAGAGGGAGCCTCGCCGGGGAAGGGTGGCTGAGGTCAACAGGGGCAGCGCCGCGGAACAAGGGGAGAGGGCCAGGAGCTGGTAGGCACCGGCGGGTGCACAGCCCCAGCGAACGAGACCGGGAAGGCGGAAACATTTGGGGGAACAGGAACACCCGGACGGAGCTGCGGGGGAGGGGGAGGGGACGGTGGATGGCCACCCCGGGTTGGGGTTAGGGTCAGGGGCCCTGCGCTTCAGGGCTCCCCCAGGCCCAGGGCGCAAGGAAACCAGAGTGTGTGTGTTAGAGGTTGGGGGGAAGGCGCTCCAGGACCCTGAACCCCACCCCCCACCCAGAGCGCCGGGTCCCAACTACTCCTCAGGCTCCGCCCTCCCCTCAGGGCTGCATCGCCCGCTCCCATTCCGGGAGCACAGGTGGGCAGCGGGCGGGGGAACAGGTGTGCTTGGCGGTGCGCCCCCACCCCAGCCGCGCTCGCGGGGGGAGGGACCGGGCGGGGCGGAGCGGCAGCCAAGCTTTGTTAAAGGCGCTCCCGGGAGCCACGCGCCGAGCGTACGCGCTTCCTCCCAGGGGCCGGGCGTGGGGCCCCGCCCGCAGCTATTGGCCGAGCGGGCGGCCCGCGATTGGCTGGGAGGCGGGCCTCCGCCTCTCGGCCGCAGCGGGCAGGGGCGCGGGCGCGGCGGCTGGGCGCGTGCGGCCCCCGGGGGTCTCGCAGGTCTTCGGCACACCTGTGCTGCCCCGGCGGCCACGCCCTCCCCTCCACCGCGCGCGCTGCGCGTGCGGACGGCTTGCAGCTCCGGGGACTAGCAGGCTGTGCGCGAGGGCAGGGGTACCCGACTGTCGCAGACCTGTGGCCTGCGATCGGCGACGGGGGTCGCACCGGCGACCTGCTGACAGCTCCTGGACGTGGGAGGGGGACGTTGCACACGGGACCTGCATAAAGCGTCTTAGGGGGGCACACGAGCACCTGCTGTGAGCGCGGGGTCCACCGGGGACCCGCGGACTGCACCTGCGGGGGGTGCACCGGGGACCTGCGGACTGTGCCCCCGGGATGGGGTTGGGGGCGCGCTCTCGGCTTGGTCTTTGCAGGTTGAGTGTGCGAGGGGGAGGGCGAAGCGTGGCGGGAGGGCGAGGCAAGGGAAGGAGGGCGTGAGAAAGGAGGCGGCGGCCGCGCGGAGGAGGGTTATCTATACATTTAAAAACCAGCCCGTCTGCGCCGCGTCGAGAAGACCTGGGGAGCGTCCGACTGCACGCGAGAGACACGAGTGCCCCACGCTCCCCTGCGCGCGCGGCCCAGCAGCTCTTGGCCTCTCGTGGCTCGGTGTCCCGGGCCTCAGAAGACCTGGGACGCACAGTGCTACAGGCCCCCTTGGGGCGTGGCCGGCGTTCCACCGTCCCCCGTCCCTAGGCCTGCACCTTCCCGCCGTGAGCGAGGCTCGGAGGAGGCTCCGGGCGAGTGGATGCGGGTGCGATGGACAGCGGCGCGCTGCCCCGGCCCGTGTCCCCCGCTGCCCCCGCGCCTGGTGTCTCGGGCGGCTGCGCCGTTCAGCGGCGACCGGCGTCCCCAGAGCTGTTGCGCTGTAGCCGGCGGCGGCGGCCGTGCGCAGAGGAGACCGGGAGTGGTGCCGCGGCGGTGGCACGGCGCAACGAGCGCGAGCGCAACCGCGTGAAGTTGGTGAACTTGGGGTTCCAGGCGCTGCGGCAGCACGTGCCGCACGGCGGCGCCAGCAAGAAGCTGAGCAAGGTGGAGACGCTGCGCTCGGCGGTGGAGTACATCGGCGCGCTGCAGCGCCTGCTGGCCGAGCACGATACGGTGCGCGCCGCGCTGGCTGGGGGTCTGCTGGCGCCTGCCGCGCGCCCCCCCGCGCCCCGCGGGCCGCCCGGGACTCCCGCGGACGCCGCCTCGCTCTCCTGCGCCTCTTCGTCCCCGGGCCACGGGGGCAGCTCGGAGCCCGGCTCCCCGCGCTCCGCCTACTCGTCCGACGACAGCGGCTGCGAGGGCACGCTGAGCCCCGCGGAGCGCGAGCTGCTCGACTTCTCCAGCTGGTTAGGAGGCTACTGAGAGCCCCGCTCCTCGAGGTAACCGCTGGGCGTCGGGGGACAGTGGGGGTCAGAGGCCGGGGCGGCGCGGCTCGTGCCCCAGCCAGCCCGCGGAGGCGAGGGCCCGGCCCCGGGATAGCTTCGATTTCGCTCACGCTTCATTTTCCCCCAACTTTTTCAAGCCTGTGCAAGACCAGTGTTGTTTGTCCGGGATTGCAAAACTTCCTCTTGCTGCTCCGCCGCGGGAGGGGGAGGGAGGAGATGGGGTGGTGGGGGGCGCGGCCCTCGGGCGGGTGAGGCCCGGCGTGCAAGCGGATCCCGGGGCAGATCTGGGCGCTGGGAGGCGGGGTGAGTTTGCATTGCAAATCGCGCGCCGGGGCCGGGTGGCAGAAATGAGTCGGCGGCGCGGCCCTGACTCACTGCGGCTGGAGGGCGGCCCGTCCCCCGCCCTGGCTCGGGCCGCAGGCCGACAGCGCCGGGGCACCCACAGAGTCGAGCTCCCAAACCAACAAACAAACGAAACTGCCGTCTTGGCCGTGGGAGGTAGAGGCTGGGCTGGATCCCGCACTAACGTGAGTTCCTGTCTCCTTTGCCTCCCCGCAGCTGCGCCCTGGATGCCGAGGGCGAGGGGGCGTGCGCTCATCCCCGGGGAGCAGGCAAGCTGGGCAGCTTGCGTCTCCCTCCGGGCCTCCTGGGAGCCAAGCCGTGACCAGGCCAGGACTCCGACGGATAACCCTCCCCAGGCGCCCTGCTTGACCACGTGCCAGTCTGAACCGGCCCGCGGGATCTGCCCGCGGGGCAGCTACCTCGAACCCTGACCGCGGGCTCCCCCTGGGCTGGGACTGGGGCTGGGGCACCGACCCCCAGAGGTTCCCAGAAGGGAGATGAGTTTCTGAGGACACGCAGCATCTGCTTTCCGCACGTTAACTTGCCCTGCCCAGGGACGCTGGAGACGTGACAACTTGTTTTTATACAAAGACTCCTTACCTTGGAACACAATAAAGATGGTCCACCCTGCCTCACCCCCACTACCTGGAATTTTCCAACCGGGCCGATCCGGACGCTGCGCCCCGAGGGACAGGGCCCCGGGGCAACCCCAGGTTGACGCAGGGCAGCTCGGCAGCTGGGGAGAGGCCCGGGCTTAAGTGAACCAGGGCTGGGTGTCAGGGTGCTGGGGGCTGCCCCCATTTCTCCCGGGTGAGGGCTGGGCCTGGGGGCGAGGGGGAGGGTGGTGGCCCAGACCACCCTCACTCTCCCCAGATGCCCCCATCGGGCGGGAGGAGAGGTGGGAGGTCTGGGAGGCCAGCTTGTGCCAAAGCAGCTGGGGCACCGTGTGAGGCTGGGGGCGCCCTGCAGGAGTCCCCGCCCTGGGGGCCGTGCGGGTGGGGCCGCCTCGCAGCTCGGGAGTCAAGGCCTGGAGGCTGTGGCCGCCTCAGGCGTCTGGGGCGAGTGCCGGCGGGGCCCGGGCCCAAGGGGGCCTCTGTGTCGGGCTCCCGGCTGCCTGGGGTTCGGGCCTCCACGTCCTGCCGCCTGTGGGGTGACCCTGCGCAAGTGGCTCCCCCTGCGAGTGGGGGTGACAGCAGAGACACCCTCAGGGTTGTAGCGGGGTGTGGGGGGAGGGTCTGGCGCCCTGCCCCGGGCTCCCTGCTGCTTGGAACGGCCTGGTGCGCCCGGAGCCTCAGCCCGCATGTGCACAGCAGCGCGAGGCCCTGGCCACCCTCGTCATGGGTGCAGGAGGGCGCCCTAGAGAGGGACTGGCAGGCCCCCTCCCCCGACCCCCCAGCTCAGAGGGCCCTCGGGGAGATTACGCGGCTCCACCTTTGACCTGGGCCCCGGCAGCTTTGAAGTCTGGCTGCGCCTGAAGCTCTTTTATTGCAGGGATGGGGGTGGGGCCGATGGGGATCCCTAGGCACCCCTTCAGCAGGGAGTGGTTGGTTCAAAGCTGTTGGAACCCTGGGAGGCTGGCAGAGAGCAGATGCCTTCCGGGTAACCATGGCGACGGGGTGCTGGGTCTGATGAGGCTGGCTGTGGCCAGGGGCTGTGGGCTGAGTGACCCGGCTGCTTCCACAGGACAGAAGGGGGCGTGTGCTGTGCAGGGCCACCCCACCTTCTCCCAGGGACCCCACCGAGCCCCAGGACCGGGACTCTCCTGCGGCTCCGTTCCTCGACCCTAGGGAGAGGCCTGGACCCAGGCGGAGGCGCGCAGGGCAGGGGAGGAAAGGGCCCGCCCCCGGCGCGGGAGCCGGGCGGGCGGGCGCTGCCGGTGAACCCCGCGGCCTTCTCGCGCAGGATTCCGGACGTGCCCAGGTTCCGGGACCTTTCTGGGGCGTTTCCCTGCAGCGGCAGTTGTGTCTGTGGGGCCTCTGCCCTCCCGGTGCCCACGGTCTAGGGGGCCCCCGAGCGCCAGCACACAGGCAGCACCCCTGAGTCGTCGGATGGCTGGCCACTGGTGGAGCCGCCGGCCCGGGGACCCTCTGGGAGGCGTCCCCCACCCCCCACCCCGCCGTCCCTCCGCAGGGGTGTCTCTCCTGCCTGCACGCGGTTGTGAAGCAAATCCCAGACGCCGTATGGTTACACCGTAAATTCTCCCACGGCAACCCCAGTACCGCTCTCCCCCAGGGGGACGCCTTTGCCTTCCTTTCAGCGAACGCCCCGCCGTGGCACGGGCCTCGGGGTGTCTGACCAAGGACCAGCCCAGGGCCACGTGCTCGGGCTGCTCCGTGGGCCCGTGGAGCCTCTCGGTCGTTAGGGTTTCTGCACTGAAGGAACAGGTCGCTTGTTCTGCGGCTTCTCCCTCGCCCCGGGCGTTGTGGACGGTGCCTTCCGGGCATGACGTAGGGCCCGCTGTCCCGTGTCTTCTGGGAGTCGGGCGGGGGCCGGCAGCAGACGTGTGATCTGGCGCCTGCTGGGTTCTGGTTCCCGCACATGCCCCCAGGGCCGCATCCCGTCAGGGAACGTGCAGTGGCCGGTCACTAGGTGCCCAAAGGAGGGCGTTCTTGAGAGAGGAAAGGGCTGCGGTTGGGGACCGGCCAGGACAACAGTGTGGCACGTGGCGCATTGGCCGGCCGCCGCCCTGGGGCGCAGTGTCCAGACTGAGAGCCAATCACGGCCCTCGTTGGAGATGAAGCACCTGAAGGCACAGAGCCCACGCTCCCTAAGTCCTTCCCAAGTCCCCTTCCAGAGGGCGGGGCTGCCTGCGGCCGTGCCGGCAGCGACACCTTAGCCAGCGGGCCTTCCAGCCTGCGCGCCCGGTCGGAGCCGCACCTGGCGCAGGCCGCCCGGGCCTCGTCCCCGCCTGGGAGCGATTCCAGAGGGAAGGTGACCAGGAGCTGGAGGGCGGGGTGAGTCAGGGAACCCCAGTCTGGGGACAGGCAGGCGGTGCTTTTGGCCTCAGGGTGAGGCGGGGGGGCCGGGGGCTGTCATGGCGGTGACCCCAGAGGGTGAGACCCGCTGCCTGGGGACAGGGCAGGGCAGCGGGTAGAAGGGGGCGGCACCACCCGGGTGACCAGGGCCCTGGCAGGCGCTCGGGGTGCTTCGTCCTTGTCTAGACACGGTAGAACCCCGGAGAGCCCTGCTCTGCCGTCCTGTGTGTTTGGCCGAAACGTACCCAAGCCCTTGGTCCTGAGCACATCAGAGAGGAGGGTGCCCCGCTTGGCGGTCCACGCCGGGGCTCTGTGAACACAGGGCCGCCACATCGGAGACCAGGACAGGCACAGGGGCCCGCCTGCCCGGGCTGACCTCCTCCGGCCCGCTCGGTCCCACGCACACTCCCTCCACCCCGTCCCGTGGCGCCTCTGTCCCGGGCAGCCCGGGTGTGCCGCGTGCGGGGGGCAGGGGGTGCCCTGCTCTCTCAGAGCCCACGCCCTGCGGGGGACGTGGATCCAACCCCCCAGCAGCGTCTGTGTGTCCGTCGGACCGTCGGGCCCTGGCTCGGCACACCGGATTCCGGGACATGGCAGCCGAGTGAGCGGGGCAGCCCGGGCCCCCGGTCGAAGCTGGGGTCCCCACCTGTCCCAGGGCAGCTCCGGGCTGCTGGGAGGCCCACCTACCCCCGCTGGAGGATGTCCCACGGACACCTGGGGTGCTCGCTCTGGCTGTGGTGTCATGCTGGGGGCGGGGGTGCTTGCGGTCCACTGGACGGTCTGCCCCGGGAGCCCGAGGGTCCCCGAGCACTTGGGGGAAACAGGTCCACACGCCGGTGCTCCGTGCCCAGCTTCGTACTTTTTGGGTCCTGGGGCAAAATGAAAATGGGGCACCCTTGTGCAAAAGTGGGTAGAAAAATAAAGCTCTTCCCTTTTTCCCATGGTCTCCGTCTTAACGGTGTTTTCATTACACTTGCAATTTCGTGCTGTTCTCAGTAAATAAAAATGGACTGAAGTATTCGCGGGGATCTCAGCTCCCACGCCGATGCTGAGTGGAGCGGCCTTCAGCGCGCACGTGACTGCGTCCAACTTCCACGCCACGCCCGCGCCTGGCCGCTCCGCTGGCTCGCGGGCTCTGCTGTCACCGGGACAGAGTGCGCACGCCGGCGTGGCTGTCCTCACGCCCCTCCTGACACGCACGTTCTGCCTTCGCCAAGGCCCGTCAGCTTGTGGCGCGCCGTCTGCCCCTGCCCCGGTCACCGCTCCTCCCTGACGTGGATGGCTCATGCCGGCAGTCCCACGGGAGGAGAGGCGGCCAGCACCAACCCCTGCTCCGCACAAGGCACCCAGAACCTCCCCCACCCTGCCTGCATGGGCCCCGGGGAGAGATGGAGACTGGGTGCTGTCCCCGCGGCCGGCGGGGTGCGGCTCTGCGGGCTATGCCAGGCTGGGCAGGCGGAGCACTCGGTCTCTGCTGCACATGGAGGGGGTGCCAGGTGACCCCTCAGGGCCTGCCTAATGCTGCCCTGGGCCGGTGGGCTGTGAGTCAGGCCTGAGCAATTAGGGGAGTGACGGCGGGGGGACAGGTCCCCGGGGGGCTTCCAGCCCCTCTGACAGCTCTTGTCCCCACTTCCAGGCCCCGGAGCCTCAGTGTCTGGCC